GCGGGCAAAGGGCGCCCGCCGATGCCCGCGGGCAGGGCTGAGGGCGAAGTCGCGGGCTAGAGATGTCACACACGTTAAAGCGGAGTGGGAGAAAGACACTTGTGGTCCCGCAAGACACTGTTAACACTCTTAACCCTTTCGATACGGCTTCATCTTTGTCCACGGTGCCCTCCGTTGAACGGACAGTTTTATCGCGAATACCCTACCACTAAACGGAGGACAGCTACGACGCAAACGCCACTTCACCAGATAAGAAGCATAGCAGTTAAATTTTGCCGTACAGTGTAATGAATTGGCGAGAAGGAATCATACTTTAACACATTTTACAGTGATAACACTTTATAAAATTGCTTAATAATATAATTTTGTGTGGAAGATTTCAACACAGCGCGACTATATTCTCCGTTAGTTCACAACGAGCGTTCAACAATGAACGACAATAGTCGCCGTTAGTATCGAAAGGGTTAAGTTGCCCGACAAGGCGTGACTTGTTGCCCGCCGATTCGTTTATGCCCGGGAGAGCCCATCGCTGCCCGTACGGGCAACGACTGAACGGCGCTTGTATACATCTTCCTTCGCGAACAGGGACATCCAGCTGTATCGTTCCCTCTAATTTTCTTTGCAGGCCGATACACGACGGGCAGCAGAAGTTCTGTGGACAATGGTGGCGACGTGAGCGACTGTTACGACGTGCCACCGCGGGCTGTTCCTGTGATTCCGTCACCAGCAAGTAGCCCAAGTCCTGCACCCTCTTGCTACGACATCCCGAGGCAGCCTACCTCCTGCACGCCGAATTCGAACTGCTCCGGAGGCTCCGGCGTGACGCCTCTCGATTGCTACGACGTGCCCAGATCGTTGCAACCCCTCACGCCTAGCAGCTCCGCGTCTAGCCTCACCAACGATGGATCCCTCAGCGGATCGAACCGGTACGTGATCCCCTGGGATAGACGATACCCAGACGAACCCTTCTTTTATCCTCGTCTAATGGGTTAACCGTCTGACAGGCGTCGCGACGGTCAGAAATTGACGCTTTACTGCGTTGTACTTAGCGATCCTGATGATTCGATTAACCCTTTAACGCGAGCGTTTGCAATTTGACGCGACGAAAATTGTTAATTTTATTTTGGTACTTATACTCGGCGACCGTGATGATTCAGTTTACTCCCTTAATGCTCACGTTTATAATTTGATACGCCAAAAATTATCAACTTTTTTTTTTTAATGAAATTATTTTTTAGGCGTGTAGAAATAACTTTCGTGCAGCCTTATTTTTCGTGTGTACCTCAGAGCCGAATTTCCTTAGAACCAAGACCAACCCAGTTCATTACCAAAAGTTTGACAATACTTAACAATATTTCGTCAGTAAGTGAGAAGAAAAATTAAATTTGGGATTTTTCTGTATTTTTGAAAACAATCAAATGAACATAATTTATATGATTAGAAATTTAGAAAAATAGTAAAATAATAGCCAAGCCATCGTTAAATTTCTAACAAAAGAAGATCGTAGAAAAATGGAAGTCTACTGAGAATACAAATCAATGGAACGTCCATGTTTCAACAGCGAGTGCCAGACACGAACCATTACCTTTTATATTTAGCATTTTAGTTCTGCACATAAAACCATGAACTGTGCGAGAAATCTTAAAATTCTCTTCACTTCGAGGTAGCCATTTTAATGGAACGTTTCCCTTAAAATCAACTCTCCAGGCCTTTAGAAGTTTTAGTATTTCTTAAAGCGAACTTCATCCTGTTACGATCGTAATCTGATGAAGACGTTGGAAGCATCAACATTGAGTACGTTGAACTTTATACATTTGCTAGCGTAACGAGACATACAGCTGCTAGGAAGTGATTTATTTCGAGAAGCTCGAGCTTAAATACCGGACCGGTGCCAACAGCGGTCATTCCTACTGCAGTTTCAGAGAAATCGGTTCCATTTACAGTTCAGAAAAAGGAAAGAATAGCCTTTACGATAGTTCAATCCGTAACTCTGACTCAAAGTGTATTTTGCAGTCAGAAAATGTCACTTTATTTTATTGCTTCAGCGTTTAGAATTGAAAATCGGCGAAGACTTGGGTTAAAACTGTTTAACACTGAAAAATAACGTTAAAGCTGTGAAAATGAAATTTCAGAAACTTAAATTCTTATCTGCATAATCGGATGGAAAAATAATTTCTCCGTTTAAATTATTTTATTTTCTATAGAACAATCATTTCTGTTCTTAAATTACT